GTATTTTCGCCCCTTCCCAAAATTACTTCAACGGAAGGTTTCCCGATGGATATGCGGAGCAAATCCAGCAAATCCATCTGGCAGAGTCAGGTTAGCCTTTTGTAACTTTAAAGGTGGAATCAATCCGAGAACTTATATTACTTCTAATTGGCTACTTTTTAGGAAAACTTTGCAGCATTACTGATCCGATCTCCTACGTCTACCTTGAGTTTATTATATCTCGTAACGTCAACCAGTGATTAGGGGTGAGTATTTGCATTGGTGTTGCCAATGTTGTAAAAATTCATAACTAAAAAGAACAAGCTCAAAATTTAGTTCACACTGATGAAAATGAACTAGCTCATGTTCATAGTTAACTATTTCAAAAAATTAACAAACCTACAAATATACTAGTTCAGGTTAATTTGGTAAATTAAGCGACAATCCTACACAATAGATCCTTATATTTCACCCTTTAATTTCTGGCAACGTTTTCCTGTGAGTTGATTTGAGTTTCAAAGCAAGAAGCTTACTTTTATTTTGACAGTTTTGGCTGTAAAAGAGCGCATCAGCATGTTAGTTTTATTTATACGTTTCTCGCTCTTTTTCAATACAGTTTTCATCAACAGACTTTTCCCAGATCTCCACACAGTCATTTAAATGTGTTTACACAGATGAAAAGAAGAGAATAACAAGTGATTGTTCATTTTCAGTGCTTAGTCTGCCTTCCTCTTCAATCTTTAGTCATAAATAGGCACAGTAATTGCCCTAATTTTGACTGCAACATAGATTTACATGACAATGCAAGTAACAAGAAATGAAATACAGTTTTTACAAATACAAATCTGAGAGAATCGCGCCTTTCAGTATTTTCTGAAGAGCTGAAATGATTGTTTTAATTTAGAACAAGGTTGGATTGGTGTCTGAAAAGGCTTCAGAGAGGCAAACGTTTTTATATAGCGCCTGAACTAAAGGTGGAGCTTTTTTGGCTAAACATAGCACACTGGTTAAATACGTCTTAAATCTAATTTCAGTCACCAAATAATTAATTTATTTGACTTTTGTTCGCTAGTTTTTTTTTAATGGCAGAATGATGTAAAAGCCTTCTGTCATTTTGCTAGATAGAAATTTATATCACAACCACTTGGTGGCGTGAAGTGTAATAAATGGTTTCAGCCAGATTTCTTTCTTGCTGCACCAGGAAACCCGTTATTTGTCCCTCTGCTGATCTCAGTATTTGGTGAAATTTTCCCTAATTTTAAACTTTGTCTGAAGTAGTGTTTGTAATCCAGGTTATACTGTGATGGCAGAGCTTAGACACGGCCTCCAGAATAGAATAAATACATTCATCCATCCATTTACTGTCACGCTTATCCCAAGTGGGGTCGCTAGGGGTGCTGGTGTCTAGAGAATATAAACAGTAATAAGAATTTGTCTGTCAGTAACATTAGGATAGAACCCCAAAGACCAAGTTGATAAAGTAGATTTTTGTGGTGAGTTACACTTTAACAACTACCGTAATTTTCGGACTATAAGCCTCACCTGAATATAAGCCGCAGAAGCTAGATTGCATGATTTGTACATATACAAGCCACACCGGACTATAAGCCGCAGGTTTTTTATGCTTAATTGCCATATGGTTCGTGCACAGAGAGGATTGTCGGGAAAGAGGCAACTGTTTGGGGAAGCTCCTATTTATTAACATTTCAACACAATTGAATTGAGACAATTCTTTCTGCTGGCGTCTCCAACGTCTCACCATTGACTCGTTGATTCCAAGATTAAGTGCAGCAGTTCTGTTTCCTTCGTTTACTGCCAAATTGACTGCCTTTAACTTAGAAGCTGCATCATATACATTTCAACGCTTGTTTTCCAAAATGAGGGTGTCACACTTGCGCTCGCAATGTCCGCCTTTCTTGGAGTCTGCTTCCGGAGGTACCGCATTACCCTGTAAAAGTCCATAGATAACCCGCATGTTTAGATAAGCCGCAAGGTCGAAAAATGGTCGAAAAATGGGGAAAAAGTCGTGGCTTATAGTCCGAAAATTACGGTAAGTTTTGCACAATACGATACGGTTAATTTTGGGGACATACACCAAACTACTCCTTAAGATATTTCAGTTAATCTTAAGCCTTGTTTTATTAGTTTCAGAACATGAAAAATATAT